TACCAGCCACTGGAGCCAATCCAGGGTCTGGAGCTTGGCCCTCGCACTTCCGGTTATAGGCAGAGGGACGCGCGTGCGTAAAGTCACGTGACAAACGTAGATCGCCGGATTGGCTGAGATGGTTCGTCGCTTCCCCTGCAGTCCATCTCGTGGCGTAACGAAGTATGGGTTTCAGAGCCGGCGGTGTCCGTAGGAAACCCCTTTGTCTGGCGGCGGAGAGGTTGCGGACACGACTGGATCGTCCAACGGGCCTGAGATAGCTCTATAGACTTTCAGCGACGACCTCTTCGCTCTCCGGATCGTGGGAAGCGGCGGCTAAGCACGACCCCGAGGGAAGAGTCCACAGCGCCGATAGCGCGCGTGTCTGGATTTGACTTTCTCCCCGTGTTTACGCGTGGATTTAGATTGGGAATTTCTGTATCTGTCGGAGATCGCGTGCAATGCTGGCGATGTCATAGAAACGGCGAAGGGAGAGGGATTGAAGGGAATTTCAGAAAAACGGCGGTCATCGAAATCATCGAAGGCCATCGGAGGTGAACGATAGATCAGAGAATCTCAGGCAGCCTTTTGAGACACTTCAAAACAGATGTGTTTCATGTTTACAACTTTACTAGCCGGAAAAGTCAAGTGATTCCCCTTTTTCTTTTCTTCAATATTTATTCTGCAATTGCGTTCCACCAATCGTATTGAGTAAAATATACAAACGAAAGAAGCTAGAAGACCGAGCATTATAATTCTGCATTCGCGCCAGACTTTATAAACATCATTTGAAAAATGTACTTTCTCAATCTAGGCTCACGGATTATATCACGTATTAAAAAAAAGAACGAGACAAAAGAAGAAAAAAAGAAAACACGAAGAGCACTGCCTGACAGCCATCGCCCATGACTTTAGAGATCTCCGGCACGCTATCCGCTGTACGTCGTTAGGCTCCAGGATTAACCAGACACGATTGGCGGTTGCGGTGAGCCCATGGGCCATCGCCGTGGCCCTCGCCGCAGTTTCCAGAGGGTCCTGGAGATGCCGTACGGCAGGCCCGGTCTGCAGACGGCCGGCCAGTCGTCGTTCTCGACGTCCCAGAGAACGAGGCAGGCGACAGGCACCCGGCGTCGGAGGTCGGCCACGAAACGAGCTGCGCCGCGAGGCCGCACATACGAGAGGGCCCGGGAGCCGCGCACGAGGCTCGTGGAGTAGCGGCCGACGGTGCTCGAGTCCCCACCCGCGCGGCACGCCTCGTAGTACGCCACCAGGCCGCTCTTTTCGCCGACACGCCACCCTGCGTATTGGCGATTGTCATCCCATGTTATCGAACCTATTTTCGAGGCTTCGCCTTTTGACTGCGCGAGGTGCCGTGAATATCTGGTTCGCTAGAGAAGGCTGGCGAGCGAACGTGCCGCTGCAGTTTTCTGTTCCAGCGGCTAGGAGGCGTCGATTTCGCTGGAGTCGCCAATAGACCAACACACCAGGTCTGAACACTGCGCGTGCTCAGAAACGCAAGTTTGTTTTTAAACAGCGTGTTGGTGTATGGTGTCGAGGATGGAATGATTATGCGGATAAATTTTGGCGCACGAGGTGTAATCTTGCTTTCAAGGACGTCTTTTTCTAATCCCAATCCGCGCGGCGCGCCTTGTCGCCGCATTGGGAGTACTAAACGTTTTCAATCTCGAGGAACAGCTAGGTGCCTTGGATGGCAGCCAAGAAACGCCTCCCCCAGTCTCGTCATTGATGCAACAAAGCAGTGCAGAAGCAAACATACAATATAAACGATTGATGACGGTGTCTTTCTCGTAGTTGGGCCTCAATGAGTGGCCCAGATGTGCTGAAATAGTGCTAAAAGGGAACGCCGCTCTTGCTTAGGGTAAGACCAAGAAAATTCGGGCGCTCGGGGACAGCCGAAAGCCCCCTGGGGAACCCATGTTCCTGGGAACCCAGTTTTAGAATCTCCTGCTTAAGATGTTGCGCGCTGGGAGAACTGACCGCAGAAATCAAGGTGGTTCCTGTTCTCCGTTAATTTTTAATGTAGTCCATGCTATGAACGGGGACTACTTTTCCCCGTTGCGAGAAACGTTACGGAAAAGTGTTACAGAAAAGCATCACAAGGAAGAGTTACGCTCATGCGTAGTGCAACGTAACGTCACGGACAAGACATAGAACCCATGAAGTCACGGGCGTCATGTGACTTCGTTTATCGCGTGACGTCACGGTGTCACATGACCGCGTGACCCATATCGGAACCAACCAAGTGACCACGTGACCCGTAGCCACCGGCATTTACCGGTCCGGAAACGTACGATGATTTTGTGGCGTATCACTACTAAAGTATCGTTTCTTACGGAGTACTTTCACCTTCTTGAAATGGCGATGATGATAAATGCTGCCAGCTGTGATAGATCGCGCGAACCATGGCCTTTGCTCCAAGGTTTGCCTTTGCTTGCCCAGTCATTTTTTTTTCTTTTTTCTTTTTGTCTTTTGGGGCTTTGACAGCTCTTCCAATACGTCACCGGAACGTCACAGATTTTGACCGAGGGTGCACGGAGTGAATTGTTCATGACTATAGGCGACGTGAGCGAACGAAAGCGTCGCAGTGATCGGCCTGCCGCGATTGGCCAAATGCTGACTACGACGTCAGCAGAGAAGGGAGGCGGCACCAATATATCTTGCCGCCATTGGAACACGCAAGAGGATAACGTTCACACGCCCTAGTTTTTTTTTTTTTTTTTTTACAAACAAATAAAATACTGACGAGGCACCTCTTGCCTCCGGGACACATATATTCTTCCACAAATTGCCAGTTCTGCGCATACCACAAACGCTATGTTCTAATTCACTTCCAATAGTCGGTGACAGGTAAAAAACGAACAGCTCCGGGATCCTCCTTTCAGTCGCGCTCCGTTGGAGCCAGGCGCCGACCAGGACATCGGTCACAAGGAGCTCGGAAGCAGAGCTATAATTCCCGACAAAGGTTTTAATTTACACCTGTACAAGTATAGTACACATAAGCAGGAAGGCGGCGACTGTTGCAGAAGTTCATTACTTTTAACGGTGGTCACTTTCCCGAAATCCTTCCCTACCTAGGTGTTTCGTGTAGCGAAGTCAGCTTTGTTGGCTCCTCCCCAGGGCCGGGTTAAGAGTTGCGAGGGCCCGGTTCAAGAAAATTAAGAAATACCATTAGCTCTTCGTATTACATTTCTATATAGTAGTTCCGCTTTCATAAGATGGTGTTAACATAGACATATTTTTGTGAAACTTACTATTCCCATGCCGAAATACCATCACAAATGTACCAGAAGGTTTTATTAGTTCTCGCCTTATAGCCGAGAAGTGACCGTTTTCTGACAGCCACTATCAAGAGAAAACAGTCTCTACATTGAAGTCTCACGACCATATACCCAACTTTATCAGCATTTTCCATTATAAAAACAAACAAACAAAAACTTTTCTTATTTCCCCTCGCGCCGCGCGAAGAGAGCGAAGATGGCAGTCCTGGCGTCTCGTCAGGAATTACGCGACGAAGAGAGTATCTTCGTGTCGTCTGATTGAATGACTTGTTCTCAAACAACTCGCGTTATGCGAAATCCAACTTTGGCAGGATCCAGTTGCTACTTGTAATGTTGGATGGTTTTAGAAACTTCCATCGCGCATACTTGCTTCACAGATTAGCAAGCACTGGTGGCAGGTCTCAGTGGCATCCACGACGCCAACCACAACGGATATGAGAATGAACCACGTCACATCTCTGTCCTCAGGTAGGTGACAACACCATTCCACCCGCATTGCGCGACCGTGCTAAAGGTATCGCTTTCGTTCCTTCGCACGTTGTGGGCGAAAAATACGACTTTTATTTTTTTTTATATCTAATTATGAAAATCGGCAAAACTATTTTACTGTCTTTGATAAAGAAATAAAAAAACAACACTCAAAGGCGCCATTTTTGTTTGACGCTGTAGATGCCAAGTGAGAACTGTTACTTGTCAGACAAATTAGGAAATCAGCCAATGAGGTTACCGTAAATGTTTCAAAATGTCTTAGTTAAATATCCTACAGGAGTTTTTGCCATAACTCATCAGTGCACACTATAGTCTGTGACAGTTAAGGAGTGAAATGGAAGCTCCTCCCTCCTCTTTCCACTTTAGCAGAGTGAACTCTAGAGAGGAGGTGACCTCCTCGCCTCTGCTAAATTGGAAAAGGGGGGAGGAGCTTCCACTTCGCTCTTAACCTGTCACGGACTATGACCTATTCACTTCTCACTGAATACAAAAATTAAAAAAAAGACACTACAAACAAAATTTAATTTTTCTGTTTAGTTTAATCCAACTGGCCGAAACACGTTCTGGGGCGATTGAATAGCTTTGTAGGTAATGACCCTAAATAATATAAAAACACGTTTAATATTATAATTTCTACGTCGCTTCAAGGTACTCAATCGAGCTTGGAAGTATATAGTTTATTTTTTCAAACGTTTATCGAAATATTGTTGATAGTAAAGCTTTGTTTATAAAAGGCATCCACTTTCCCTGAATACTACAATCTACCCCCCCCCCCCCCCCCAAAAAAAAAGACATTACAAAAAAAATTTGCCTTTTCTGTTGTTGTGTTTTTTGCATGGAAAATTAAAGAAAGATACTAAACTACCAAGTTAATTGTGTCCAAAACGGAAGAACGTGCTTTGTTTATAATATCAC